AAAAAAAAAAAAACTTCAAGATCAGTCATCTGAAATCTGATAAATCAAAATTGTGTGTTTAAAATTTAAACATTTCTTGCATTTGAACTGTACCATGGTCAAATTAAAAAATGGGGCTCAGAGCCTGTAGCTCAGCAGGTAGGGCACCAGCCACATACACCGAGGCAGGCAGGTTCAAACCCAACCTAGGCCTGCCAAATGATAATACAACTATAACAAAAAATACCCGGGCATTGTGGCAGGCATCTGTAGTCCCAGCTACTTGGGAGGCTGAGGCAAGAGAATAGCTTAAGCCCAAGAGTTTGAGGTTGCTGTGAGCTGTGATGTCATGGCACTCTACTGGCACTCTACAGAGTCATAGTGGGACTATGTCTCAAAAAAAAAATAATAATAAATAAATAAATTATTGCTGGGTGCAGTGGCTCAGACCTGTAACCCCACTACTTTGGGAAACTGAGACAGGAGGATTGCTTCAGACCAGTAGTTTGTGATTATACCACTGCATTCCAGCCTGGGAAACAGATGAAGACCCCCGGCCCCCCAAAATGTTTTGTGTTCTTTTCTCCCTGCACTAAAATCTATTTAAAACATCCATGGGGAGTTTCTTAATGTGTCAGCACAAGACCCCATCTTGTGGGTCTGCCCTGGGTTTGCCCTGAAGCCCTCAGGTTGTGTGTGGGTCCCAGCTGGAGCTCACACTACCGCACGCCCTGGCATGGGCACTCGTCCCTAGTCACTCGAAGACTCTAAGAGTGCGCGGTGGTGGCAAAAGGTTACTAGTCACACTTCTCCCACATCCAGATGGGCCCATCATGCACTCCTAAGCATTATGCCAAAAAGTATGGGCCTCCTCTCACTCTTACCTCCCATCCTGTCGATTCCTAAGTCTTAAAGACCTTTCCTCCAAAAGATGTCTCCAGTTATTCTGTCCCAGTCCATTTCTTCTCCTCATTCATAGTTAGTTCCTAAGTAGCACCTCTTCGAGTCTTAGGTCACCCACCTACCAAGCAGAATTACCTCGTCTCCATTACCCAAGTATTCAGTCATCTTTGCAGGACATTCCTCCCTCCCTCCTCCACCCCCTTTCATTTTTTGAGACAGAGTCTTGCTCCATCATCCCAGCTAGAGTACTGTGGCATCACAGCTCACAGCAACCTCAAACTCCTGGGCTCAAGCAATTCCTGCCTCAGCCTCCCAAGTAGCTGGGACTACAGGTGCCTCCCAGGACACCCAGCTAATTTCTTCTCACTCTTGCTCAGGCTGCTCTCTCACTCCAAGTGATCCTCCCCCTTGGCCTCTCAGAGTGCGAGGCTCACAAGCGTTAGCAGCCTTGCCCAACCACTTTTCTCCACTTCTTTATCGATGTTTCCCCAATTAAAATGTAAACAGGTGCCGTGTGACTCCTCTGGGTCCTGCATACCTAACACAGTGGCTCGTGCGTGAGACCACCAGTGCTGGATTGACGCTTTCCCAGAACTGTGCTAGCTGCATCTGCCATCTTAAAAGATCATCATTCAGGACCTATCACCCCAAAGAGCCTCCTGGCCCATCTTACTGTTTCCCATCACAATGGTTTTACATTCATCTGAGGCGAAATAACAGGTTCCCAAGTGTAGGCCTGAAGATTTGAAAGCATGTTTGAGAAAGTGAAACCTGGAATTTGAAGGACATGCAAAAACACACATTTCTCATTATCAGACCAGATCGAAACTCAGAATAACTTTGATCTTATTCTTTTCCACTTACATGGTCTTAGGTCTTAAGACTCGCGTTGCCCAGGCTGGCATACGGAGGCCATTCACAGTCTCCTCACAGCACACTACAGCCTAACTACGGGGTCCTCCCACCTCAGCCTTCTGACCAGCTGGGACTACAGGCACACACCACCTTCCCAACTTCAGAGCAGCTTTTCGTATCTTCACTTTAATTTTTAAGCTACAATATAACTACTCACTGAAAAATATTTCCAAAAGTAAAAAAAAAAAGTTATATGAATGAAAGTATTTAATTAAAATGAACACGATTTTTTCCTTAAAAATTCCATACAGTTAAGATGAATTATGGATGGAAATTTAAGAATATTTTTATTAGGTATTTTTCTATTACATTCTTTATTATGATCTGATTAATAGTCTGTACTCTTTTATCTAGGAAGAAAATACCTTTTCTCTGATATTAGCTATCACATGCAAAATTAATCATTCCTAAGGCTGTCATTTAGCTGACCTCTTGAACAACTCTGTTTTGGTGTCATGGGAGAAAGACCCACTATCTGAGTGATTTTTCTCATAACCAACTTACTTACCAGATCACAGTCGCCCAGATCCAACTTCTGTAAGGATGAGTTAATTTGCAGCATTGTAGCAAAACACATTCCCCCCTTATTTTCAATCTTGTTTCCAGTCATTCTTAGGTATTTCAGAGTTTTATTCTTCTGAAAAGGAAAAGAATCAAAACTTACTTACGTTTTTTAATTCACAGAGTTCTATAAATCACATGAGATGGGAGACTGTATTATGTATTTGCAGACCCATCAGTTTTTCCTGGAAATGGAAGGTAACATTTAATTCCAATAAGAGATAAAAATTTGATTTAACAAAAGGTATTTGAGAACCTTCAAAATACAGTAGAGTCCCTCATAAATAGAGTTGAGCAGTGAAGAAAGAATCTCAGATAAAGACAAGACTTTTGAACTATCCCAAGCATTCAAAGGGGCAGAAAAAAATGGAGAAAAAGAACAGAATATTCCCTGAGAGAGTTATGGGATCATTCCAAGAAATCAAACATCAGAATTATAGAGATTCCTGAAGAAGAAGAGGATGGTCCCAAAGGCACAAATTCTCTGCTCCAAGACATTAATGGAGGAGAACTTCCCAAGTATTGCAAGAGACACAGAAATTCAGATAGTAGATAGTTTCAGAACCCCAGCATGACTCAGTCCAAAGTATCTTCTAGACACATCATAATTAATTTTGCCAATGTTAATTCATCATTTACCAATGAAGGAGAAACTTTTGCAAGCAGCCAGGTATAAGAAAAGTATTACTTACAAAGGGAGAAGTATAAGAACGACTGTAGATCTTTCAGCTGAAACTTTCCAAGCCAGAAAAGGATGGTCATTGACCTTCAACCTTCTTAAACAATTTCTATCCCTGGATCCTATACCCTGCTAAACTGTGTTTCATTTGTGATGGAGAAATCAAATACTTCACTCACATCCACATGCTGAGGAAATTGGCCATGACTAGACGAGCTCTTCAGGAAACACTCAGACCCTTCTTCATAACAATCAACAGGACGGTACATCACCAAAGTAAACATACCCAGAAATTAAAGTGCAAAGCTTACCGTCCACAATGGTGAGATGCATAAAATATAGCTCTGGACTTCTGAAAGACAAGATGACCAAAACTCTGCCACATCTATCTCTTAATTTATGTGAATGATCTGAACTCTCCTCTCCTTTAAAGAGGCATAGGCTGGCCAACTGGATACAAAAACTCAGACCAGATAGCTGTTGCCTACAAGAAACTCATCTTACCTCAAAGGATAAAGCAAGACTCAGGGTGAAGAGATGGGCAATGGTATTCTAGGCAAATGAAAAGCAGAAAAAAGCTGGGGTTGAAATGGTGTATGCAGATACAATGGGATTCAAACTAACAAAAATAATGAAAGACAAAGATAGACACTTCATATTGGTCAAGGGAAACACATAATATGAAGAGATTTCAGTAGTTAACATCTATGCACCCTATCTGAATGCTCCTTGATATATAAAACAAACCCTAACTGATCTGAACAATAAGATTATCGTCCCACACTATAATAGTTGGAAATTTTAACATCGCATTGGCAGTACTAGACAGATCCTCCAAGCAGAAACTAAACAAAGAAATAAACAAGACCGTAGAACAAATGGACTAAACATTTATAGAACACTTTATCCTAACAAAATCAAATACACATTCTTCTCATCAACCCATGGGTCATCTTCCAAAATTGATCATATTTTAGGTCACAAGGCTAACCTCAACAAATTCAAAAGAATAGAAATGATCCCTTGTATCTTCTCAGATCAGCATGGAATAAAAGTTGAACTCAACAGCAACAGAAATCTTCATACTCAAATGAAATCATGGAAACTAAATAACCTTATGCTGAATGATAGCTGGGTTCATAGACAAAATCAAGAAGGAGATTATTAGCTTTCTGCAACAAAACAATAATGAAGACAAAAACTGTCAAAACCTCTGGGATAGGGCAGCACCTGCGGCTCAGTGAGTAGGGCACAAGCCCCACATACAGAGGGTGGCGAGTCCAAACCCAGCCCCGGCCAAACTGCAACAAAAAAATAGCTGGGCATTATGGCAGGCACCTATAGTCCCAGCTACCTAAGCCCAAGAGCTGGAGGTTGCTGTGACCCATGATGCCACAGCATTCTACAAAGGGTGACAAAGTGAGACTATCTCTTAAAAAAAGGAAAAAACTTGTGGGGATACTGCAAATGCATTCCTTAGAGGGAATTTTATTGCCTTCATCAAGAAAACAGAAAGAGAGCAAGTCAGCAACCGAATGAGCCATCTCAAGCAACTGGAAAAGGAAGAACAATCTAATCCCAAACCCAGCAGAAGAAAATAAATAACCAAAATGAGAGCAGAACTAAATGAAATTGAAAACAAAAGTATTATTCAGAAAATCAGCATAACAAAAAGTTGGTTCTTAAAAAGATTAATAAAATTAATAAACCCTTCACTAGACTAACCAGAAACAGTAAAACAAGATCTCTAGTAACTACAATCAGAAATGATAAAGGGGAAATCACAACAGATACCACAGAAATACAACAGATTCTCAACAATTACTACAAAAAACTCTATTCCCAGAAATATGAAAATGTAGAGGTAGACTGATATCTGGAAGCACAATACATTCCAAAACTCAGCCAGAAGGATTTAGAAATCTTGAATAGACTAGTATCAAGTACTGAAATAGCATCAATTATACAACATCTTCCAAAAAAGAAAAGCCCTGGACCAGATGGTTGCACACCAGAATGCTATCAAACCTTCAAAGAGAAATGAGTTCTTATAATGCATAAACTTTTCCAAAATATAGAGAAAGAAGGAATACTCACCAACACATTCTATGAAGCAAATATCACCCTGATCCTCAAACCAGGAAAGGACCCAACATAAAAAAGAAAACTATAGACCAATATCATTAATGAATATTGATGTAAAAATATTCAACAAGATATTAGCAAACGGGGGGAGGGGCAAGATGGCCAACAGGCGCCAGCCTCCCACAGAAGCTCCCATACAGAGGGAAGGATAATGTCCAGAAAATACCCAATAAAGTTGAAGATTGGGAGCCTAGCCAAGAGAGAAGAGTGATATCTGCAGGACACCTCTGCAGAGGCAAGTTGAGACTCCAAGAAAGCAATTTACAGGTACATAATACATCCCAAAGGAAAAGTGTCCGTCCTCTCCCCCAAGAAAGTTGTAGTTTTCTCTTTGTTATCTCTTCGACTGCTCCTGTAAGTTTTCTACAAATGAGTGGTGAACTGAGGACCTATTATCTCAACCACATGTGAGAACCACAGGAAGGGGGGGTCTACTCCCCTAGAAGGACCCTGCTGAGATTCTAAACACTCTCTCGCCTGGCAGAAAAACCAAACAAATATTTTTACTGCCATTTTGAATTTCCAGTCCACCCTTCCCCCCTTGCCTACAGAGACAGTGAGGGAGAGCACAAGAGCAGCATCCCCCACCCCTGCAAGACCAGTCCCCGTACAGCAGCCAGAGACCTGCTAGACCCATGTGCATTCCACCGGCGGAGGTGGAGGAGTTCCCATTCCAGGCACCCACGCAGGAGGCCCCAGAACTGCTTGCTAGAGCCACACATGCCCTGCGGCCAGCAGTGGAAGAATCCACTGCTCCAGGTGGGCCCATAACTGCTTGCTAGAGATGTGCACACCCCGCGGGGGGTGGCTGAGGAGTCCCCCACTCTGGATAGGCCCAGAACTGCTTGCTAGAGCCATGTGTGCTCCCTGGGCAGTGGCGGAGGAGTCCCTGCTCTGGCTGGGCCCAGATCTGCCTGCTAGGGTTGCGCACATCCCATGGGCAGCAGTAGGGGAGTCCTCCGCTTCAGGCGGGCCCAGAACTGCTTGCTAGAGCCAAGCAGATCCCATGGGAGACAGCAGAGGAGTTCCCCACTCTAGGCACCCGTGCCAGGCGGCCCAGAACTGCTTGCTAGAGCCACACGAAACCCATGGGCAGTGGCGGAGGAATCCCCCACTCTAGGCCAGCCCAGAACTGTTTGCTAGAGCCACGCACATCCCACAGGCAGCAGAAGAGTTCCCCACTCCAGCCTCCCACACTGGGTGGACCCAAATCTGCTAGCTAGTGCTGCACGAGACCCACCGGTGGCAGAGGAGGAGCCCCCTGTTCCGGGCGGGCCCAGAACTGCTTGTTAGAGCCCCTTGCAACCTGCAAGCTGCGGATTAGTTCCCTACTCTAGGCACCTATGCTGGGCTGGCTCAGAACTGCCAGAGCTATATGCTCCTGGCATCCCCAGCCAGCCTCCTGAGAACTATGAGAGGACAGTCAGCTAAGAGGGAACAATATTAGAATGGTGGTACCCCAAGGTGAAGAGCAGTAGTCACAGTAGTGGGAACAACAATGCCCACACCCCTGAAGCTCTTCTGAACAGACGCGCTCTGTTTCTCTGGGCAACCAGAGGAAGTCGGCATCTTCTCTGGTGGGGGCCTTTGACTGAACAGTTCTGGTACAGTCTCAAAATAATTCAGCATGCTGTGGAATCAGTGGAAAAACTCTGGTAATTCGAATAACCAGAGTAGATCAATACCCCCAAGGAAGGATGGAGCAGATGCAATTGAAGATCCCATCCATAAACAGATGGCTGAGATGTCAGAAATCAAGTTCAGAATTTGGATAGCAGATAAGATTAACAGAATGGAAGAAAGGAGGGAATTAGAATTTCAAGAAATTATTCAAAAGATGTCTCAAGAATTCAATGATTTCAAGGATAAAATGACCAAAGATTTTGAAACAATGAGGCAAGAGGTTGCAGCCCTCAAAGATCTGAAAATTATGGTAGAATCCCTTGATAACAGAATGGAGCAGGCAGAAGACATTGAAGACAAAACTTCTGAACATGCCCAAGCATGCAAGGATGAAGAGAAATACAGAGCAAATACGGATCACTATCTCAGAGAGCTCTGGGATAATTTGAAGAAAACTAATATTTGTCTTATAGGAATCCCTGAAGGTGATGAAGTGGCTTCACAAAGCACAGAGGCTCTACTTCATGAAATTATGAAAGAGAACTTTCCAGGCATGCCAAGAGATTCTGAAATTCAGATAGCAGACAGCTTCAGAACCCCAGCACAACTCAACCCAAACAAGACATTCC